ACAGGTGTGAGCCACAGCTGCCTTTTCTACAGCACCTAACCAGGCACAAGTATGCACCACCAGCTTGACAGTTGTGCACCACGCCATTATGGGTATTGGGAGCTCATCTGCCCTCAGTAGGGTAGATTGTCATGATCTTCCAAGTCCAAAGGGGGGAAAAGAAAAAGCTGAGGACAGGCTGGGAATGTGGCTTAATGGTAGAGTACCTGCCTAGCATACCTGAAGCTCTGGATTCGATTCCTCAGTACCATGTAAACAGAAAAGGCCGGAAGTAGCACTGTGGCTCAAGTGGTAAAGTGCTAGCCTTGAGCAAAAGAAGCTCAAGGACAGTGCCCAGGCCCTGAATTCAAGACCCAGGACTGGCAAAAAAAAAAAAAAAAAAAAAAAAGCTGACATCTCTAGTGCTTACTCCCCTGATACTCCTCATGAAAGACTCTTAATCACTCCACTTAATACACCAGGCTGTAGGATTTCTTTCTGAGCAATGGATGGTAGGTTTGCCAAAGGGAAGACGGCCAAGTTGGGTCTCTGGAGCGAATCCAGTGTTCCATAAACCCTGCCTCTTTCCTAATCATAGAAAAAAAAAATACCATTAAAAAAAATGACAGAAAGCCAGAGGAGAGCTGCAGGCAGCAGAGTGACAAAGAAGAATCAGCCTGCAAATAAAACAAAAACATCCATATTGAGATCAATCTCATCCAGCCCTCTCCTCCTACCCTCCACTGTCACAGGATGTCGTTCAGTGAAAGATATACACCTCATCAAGTGGGGAGGTTGTTAGCGGAGACCTCTGAAAAGGGATCCAGGAAAGGATGAGTGGTTTGTGGAGAGTGTCTCACTCTTCTGCCAACAGGTGGCCAGGAATTTGACTGTCATGGGCAAAAGTGAAAAGGGAGAAAGGTCCTGGGTACCAATGGCTCATGTCTGTAGTCCTAGCTACTCAGGAGGCTGAGATCTGAGGTTCACAGTGCTAAGCCAGCCTGGTCAAGTCTATGAGTCACTATCTCCAATGAACCATCAAAAAGCCAGAAGTGGCTCAAATGGTAGAGAGCTAGCCTTGAGTGAAAAAGGCTAAGGGACAGGGCCCTGAGTTCAAACCCCAGTACTGGCACATAAATACACATACACACAAACCGAGGGGCGGGGGGGGGGGGGGGGGGAGAAAGGGAGGGAGGGAGGGAGAGGGAGAGAAAGGTGAGTCACTCTAGTGTTTCCTACCATGCAGAATAGGAGTGGTTTATGGGGTTGGGAAAGCAGAAGGAAGGAGAAGAAAGGGAAGTCCGTGCTTTTTTCCACTGGCAGCAGCACAGGGGAATGAGCCTTCCCATCTTCACTTTCACAGGTAGATCTGGGACTGAGTGAGAGATTCTCTGCTTTTTTACACCTTTTCCTAGCTTGGAAGAGAGGGTGGTAAAAGCAGGAGGGGGCCGGTTACAGGAATGGCTTCAGGAGTTCAGGACTTGCCTAGGCAGCCCTAGGCAACACTAGGCACTGAATTCAAAACCCCAGTACCAACCCCTCCCCCGCAAAAGCAAACCAACAGGGGAGGTTTACCTTCATGAATGGGAAGATGAATGAAAATGAGAGATATTAACTAAAATTCCTCCCAATGCACATACACATACAGCAAAAAGGAGAAAAGCCAATATAAAATCTCTTCAGGTAATTATATTAGCATGATAATGACCTTAATACTAATTGTTTTACACATGCATGCCTAGTGATCAATATTTTATAAAGCACCGAGATCCATCGTTTGGCAAATACTCTTCCAAATCATCCAATCCAGCAATAATCAAAGTTCTAGTTCCCAAACCACTTTTCCTGTGTTCTTTTGTTTTTGCCATCATCTAAGCCTTTTTGAGGCTATAGCTAGCACCAACTTACAAAAGAAGAAACTGAGCTATGAGGGAGGGGGGCTAAGCAATTGTCCATTAGGTTCAAACAGAAACCAGTATCTTTCTAATTCCAGAGTTTTAGTCTCTTAACCTTATAAAGGACATCTTATGGCTTTTTCACAGGTTCAAACAATGAGTGAGGAAATAGCTTTTGTATCTCAGCTACCTGTAAGGTAGGTAAATGTACACACACACTCACACACACACACACACACACACACACACACACACACACATTCACCTAGAAGAGATACAACTCCACAGATGCCTGCCAAGTGTCAACCCTTATGGATAACGTACTGTCATTTGAACCCTTTATGAATCTGCAACAAGAATTTCCATTTGCTGGGAGTGGTGGCTCATGCCTGTAATCCTAGCTATTCAGGAGTCAGATCTGATGATCTGACAGACTTATATCCAATTAGCCAGGGGGAAAAAGTCAGATGTGGAGGTATGGCTCAAGTGGTAGAGCATCAGCCTTGAGCAAAAAAGCTAAGGAAGAGCATGAGACCCTGAATTTAAGCCCTACCAGAGAGAGAGAGAGAGAGAGAGAGAGAAGAGATGTTTCCATTTGACAGGATGCAATCAAAGCAAGATGGCAAATTAGCATCTAGTTTTGAAGCTTTGTCACAAGGGAGAATACTTGAAGACTGAAAATAATGAGTGAGCCTAAATGCCATTTAGCAGAACAGCTCATGACATTAAAATAAATGCTCACGTTGTGAGATTCAAGCCCACGAAGAAACGTCTGTAGGAAACATTAAGGTGCAAACAGCATTTAACAGGTCCTGAGAGCTGACAGCCTCATTCTTCAGGTGATCACGTTTGCTGTTAGCTGTGCCAGAGGCCTCTTTGCACACAAAGTGACAGAAATATCTACAGGCAGGAAGACACACTGGGGCAGGCAGGTCTGGGTGGGGAGTGGTTGGTGAGAAAACATTAGGGTGTTGTAAGAGTTTGCTCTCTCCCCACACCCAAGTACCCAGGGTCTTCGAGTTTCTCTTCCTGTTCTTCTCTTCCCTTCTTCCTGGTCCTTCTCTTTTTCCTACTTCTCATCTCCTCTTCCTCGCCTTCATCCTTTTTTTTCTTTCAGACCTGGGGCTTGAACTCAGGGCCTGGGTGCTGTCCCTGAGCTTCTTTTGCTCAAGGCTAGCATGCTAGCACTTGAGCCACAGCGCCACTTCTGGCTTCTTCTGTGTATGTGGTACTGAGGAATGGAATCCAGGGCTTCATGCATGCTAGGCAAGCACTCCTACCACCAAGCCACATTCCCAGCCCTCCCTCAACCTCTTAACCTCTAACAGCAAGTTGTTGCTTATTGGGATTTTAGTGTCAATGCCTCCTGCCCTATGAGATCAAAGATATCAAATATCTATCTACTAGAACTCTGAAACCAAGAGAGATGGTCCACGAGCCACCTGGGAAACAAAATCTCCATACTGCCCAGTCACAGACCCACCCAGAGATGCCAAGGGCTCTGTGTACCTGTGCAGGACAGGTGGTTTTTGTACACAGACACAGGGATTCTCACACACAGGCATTTGGGCCATGTCATTTTTCTTCTCTTCCTGCTTTAGCCCTTTCTGGCTACCTACCCAATGGTGAGAACCACAGTGGCCAAGGGCCATGGTGGAACTTGGAACTCAAGGCCCGGGCACTGCCACTTCAAGGCTGGCACTTGAACCACATCTCTACTTCCAGCTTTTTTAGTGGTTACTAAAAAAGTGGAGATTGGACTTTTCCTACCCTGGCTGGCTTCGAACCTCAATCCTCAGAACTCAACCTCCTGAGTAGTTAAGGATTATAAGGCATACGCCATCACCGGCTCTGGGAAAGTAAAGCTTTTCACCTCCCAACCTGAGTACAATGGAAATAGAAGATCCTCCTGGTTTGGGGCTGTGGGGATGGAAGTGAGTAACAGGTAGAGCTCTGTCCTGTCTCGGTCTACAACCTGTCTTTCCTACACCCATGCCTGGACTTGGTGAGGCCTCCCGTCCCTTGATCCCCAGCCTTGGCCCTTGGGAAGAGTGGGGACCAGATTGGGGCTTCTGTCCCATCCAGGAAAGTCCCTACCAGCAGTCATAGGTCTATGTCAGCCCGGCTACCTTGAGGGCCTGGTCGGGGAGTGTGGTGGTGCGTGGGGGAAGGCTGGGAGGGCTGGTGGAGGTGGACAAAGCCTGGTGGAGGTGGACAGAGCCTGGCATAAACCCTGACGCCCCCCCTCCCCCAGCTGGGGGTGGGAGAGGCGAGGGAGGAATTCTCTAAGGAAGCAGCAGCCTAACGCTTCGATCGCCATCGATTGTGGGAAGCTGGCGGCACCCCGGAAAGGCAAAGCCGGGCTCCAGGCCCCGCTCCCTCCTCCGGCCCGTGCGTCGGGGTTTTCGGGGTGGGGAAAACCCCAGGGTTGGGGGACTCCCCCCCCCCACCCCTTTCAGGCACGGGCGATCACTTCTGCAACCTCGGGAACCACAGCCACGAGCTCAGCGTCGCCCAGCATGTTGTCCCCCCCCCCCTTTCCCGCGGGACCGGGGTGAGGTGGGAGATTGGGGGGGACAGCCCCCTCCCACTCGCCGCCATCCCGATCGGGCCTGGCCCCCTGCTCGGCAGCGCGGGGGACCCCTCCCCAGCCCCCCTCCAACCCGAGATCGAGGACCCGGAGGGCGCTCGCAAAGTTACTTCCACGGGCAGCGAGCCGCGTCACGGGCCTCCTCCTCTGCAGCCGGCGACGGGGACCCCGACTTCCCGAACCCCCCCCCCCCAACCCGGCCCTGGAGACACCCCCCCGCCCCCGCCCCGCACCCCTCCCTCCACCACCCCCCCCCCAAGCCAGCTGCGGGGAAACCCGCACGCCGAGCGAGTGAGCCACCGGCCCCCCGCACCTCCGCTCCCTCCTCGGGGTTGGGGTGTGGGGAGCCCCGAAGCCAAACTCAAAAAGGAGCCGAGACGCCTGGAAGGCGCGCGACCCGGCGGCTGGGGGGGGGGGGGTCGGCCGGGAAAGCCGGGGCTTCCAGCCCCGCGTCCTCCCCGCCCCACCCCCGTCCCGGCCTTTCCCCGCGGGGCGGCCGCCCCTCTTCCCACCAACCCTCCCCGCCGCCCCCGTACCTGCGGCGGTCACCGGCTCGCCCTCGCTCTGCTCCCCGGAATCCGAATCCATGCTCCCGCGGCCGCGCCCGCCCGTCTGCGGGACGCTGGGGCCGGCGTCCGGGCTCGGGCAGCCTGGGCAGCCCCCCCCTCTCCCCCTGCTCCCTCCACCCCTCCCTCCCCCGGCACCCCGACTTCCAGGCTGCGGGCCAAGGGCGAGCGCCACCGCTCCCCGCCACACGCCGCGGCCGCCCCGCTCCCGGCACCCGCACCCCGCGCCCGCCGGCCGGTTCCTGCGCGCGCGAGGCGGCGAGCGCGGGGCGGAGGGTGGGGCGCCGCCGGGAGGGAGGGAGGGAGGGGCCGGAGCGTCCGGCGCCCCACAGCTGCAGGCCCGGGCCAAGTCCCCAGGAACCACCTCCCCGGGAGGGGGTGTCGCTCCGCCCCCACCGGTGCCCAGCGGGCCCCCCCACCCCGGATTGGAGGGAGCGAGGTTAGATGCCACCGTCCGCCTAGCCCGACTCTCCCCCCCCCCCCAACTCCCCCAGCAGCTTGGGACGTGGCCAAGTTTGCAGGATTCTTCGGGTGCCAAAGCTCCCCGTTATAGGCAAAGAAGTTTCCAGGGCTGGGAGTTTGTGGGGGTGCTCTGAGATCTTGGACTTCGAGGAGGGGTGGGGGTGGGGGGAGGAAGAAATAACTTTCCGCGTAGGGATGTTGTGTGCAGTGCATAAAATAGTGCAGGCGAGGCCATCGGCTTGGGCCCTGGCACCTAAGGAGGAAAGAAAGCAACTCACATGCAGGTGACACCAGCCGGGCTGATGTGGGCAGAGCAGGAGGGGGCCGTCGGTGCTGGGTTGGGCCCTGCCCTGGCTTGTCTGGGTCTGCCCTGCCAAGTCAAGCTGCCCCCCAATATTTCGAGACCCCACCCCCACTCCACCCCCGGTCCCCCAACTCAAAAAGCCACGGACTGGGGTTTGAACTCAAGGCCTGGGGCGCTGAACTTTTCCACTCAAGGCTAGTGCTCTACGACTTGAGCCTCAGCTCCATTTCTATCTTTTTGCTGATTAATGAGTTATCTGGCTTTAACACCCCCCCCCCCCCCCCGGAAATCCTGAAATCTCAGCCTCCTGAGTAAGCTAGGATTACAGGCCTGAGCCACTGGCGGCTGGCAAGAATTGGTTTTAAAAATCATTTTCCTTGCGGCTGGGAAGGTGGCTTAAGTGGTAAGAGTGCTTGCTTAGCATGCATGAAGCCCTGGGTTTGATTCCTCAGTACCACGGAAACAGAAAGAGCTGGAAGAGGCGCTGTGGCTTGAGCAAAAAGAAGCTCAGGGACAGTGCCCAAGCCCTGAGTTCAAGACCCAGGACTGACAAAACAAAAAGACAAAAAAAAAAAAATCGTTTCTTCGTTGATGACACTCAGGGAGTAGTGAATTTCTTTACCACCCCCAGCTTTCTGAAAACAAAACAACAACCCAAAACTTGTATTTGTTAACTTCTTTACTTTTTTTTTTTTTTTGTCGGTCATGGGGCTTGAACTCTGGGCCTGGGTGCTGTCCCTCAGCTCAAGGCTAGCACTCTACCACCTGAGCCACAGCACCACTTCCAGCTTTTTCTGCTTATGTGGTGCTAGTGGAATGGAACCCAGGGCCTCATGCACGAAAGGCAAGCACTCTACCACTGAGCCGCCTTCCCAGCCCTAACTTCTTTACTAATGAAGAGACCAAACTAAGGGTAATAAAGCCTTCATTGTTAATTCTTGATTACACATGTTTTTTATTATTTCTCTTGAAATTACTGGCTCCAACAGTCACCTAACCTCAAGCCAACTCCTGTGCATCTGAACTGCGCAGAGATTGCAAGCTACTGATTATAGGAGAGAGAAATCAGAAGAGAAAGTCTAATAAGAGGAGCCATTTAGCAAGCATTTCCTGAGTGGACTGGTTTTTGTTTTTTTGTTTTTTGTCAGTGATAGGGCTTGAACTTAGCCTGGATGCTGTCTCTGAACTCTTTTGCTCAAGGCTATCACTTTGAGCCATAGCTGAGCCACAGTGCCAACTGCTAGTTTTCTGGTGGTTAATTAGAGGTAAGAGTCTCACAGACTTTCCTACTGGGCTAGCTCTGAACCACGATCCTCAGATCTCAGCCTCCTAAGTAGCTAAGATTACAGGTGTGACCCACCAGAATCCTCCTTGGACTGTTTTAATCTATACAATGATTCAGGAGTAGATTTAGGTTAACCATTTGACAATGTTGGGGGGGCTAAAAATTTTTGTTGAAAGTTGACAATTTTGTACAATCTAGCCCATTTTACAGATGAGGAAACTGGGCTTCACAGTGAGTGGATTTCAGATTCAATAGACTTGAAATCAGGGTTGTCAAATGTGAGAAATCTGCTCGGTAGTGTTGTAGTCTAGTGTCACAGGGAAGTTTAGCTTGGAGTCTAGCTGTAGGCTTTACAGTGTGCAAACACAGTTCTACTTTCTGTTCTCTGGAAAAGTTTCCTGGATGGCCAAATTCATGGCTTTCAGTGATAAAAGTTGGAGAGGCTTCAGAGATAAAAAGAGGGGGCTGGGTAGGGGTGACTCACCCCTGTAGTCCTAGCAACCCAGGATGCTGAGATCTGAGGATCAGGGTTTGAAGCCATTCTGGGCAAGGAAAGTCTGTGAGACTCTTAGCAAGAAAAGCTGGAAGTGGTGCTGTAGCTCTCGTAGTAGAATGCTAACCTTGAGCAGAAGGAGCTCAGAGACAGTGCCCAGGTCAAATCTCAGGACTGGCCAAAAAAAAAAAAAAAAAGTTGGGGGGGGGGGTTGCGGCATTGATGGAATGGTAGAAAGCACCTCCATATTACATATGTGCTCCTGGGCAAATGGCTTCACCCCAGTTTCCTCCTGGGTTGCTATCTTCTTCCCAGGCTGATTGTAAAGAAGTAAATAAAGTAATGGCAACAGAAGCTATTACCCAACGCCTGGCACACAGGTAATGTCTGATAAATGGAAAGAACCTTAATTGTTAGATCTCTTGGAGCCCATTGAGAACAAGCAAAATAACAACAATGATATTTTTGCAGAATAAAGTGCATTGGATTGAAAAGGCTATGTGCTTCCCATAAAGGATAGGGTGTAGATTCAACAATGTGAAAAGCTCTCTTGGTTACTACTAAGGCTTGACTTCAGGGGTCTCATACTGTGAACTTGGGGGGGGGGCTTATTTATAGCTGGTGCTCTCCCATGCCTCCAGCTCAGCTTTTTGCTAGTTAGTTAGAAATGAAGTCTCACAAACATTTTACCCAGGCTGGCTTGGAACCATGACCCTCCAGGTCTCAGCCTCTTGAATAACTAGGATTACAACCTCCTGACTAACTAGAATTGCAGTGCCAGGTCACTAGCACTTGGCTAAGAAAATGTGAAAATTTTCTCTCTGAACTTAAACCTCCATTCCTTGTGCTTGGTAACAAGTGTTTTTGTTTATTTGTTTTGGATTCATTTAGGGGAGAAGTGGTCTGGATTACAGAGTAAGAGTTGTATGGACACATCCGTGTGTGTGTGTGTGTGTGTGTGTGTGTGTGTGTGTGTAAGCAAATAAACAGTTACTTAGGCACTGAAGGTGATCAACTGGGAATGTACACTGACAGCAAATTTGTACCTATTAGTCACTGGATCTTCCCTCCCCTAAGGACTTAAACTCAGGGCCTGGGTGCTGTCCCTAAGCTTTTGTGCTCAAGTCTAGCACTCTACCACTTGAGCCACAGCTCCACTACCAGCTTTTTGGAGTTAACTGAAGAGAAGAGTCTCATAGGACTTTCCCACCCAAGCTGGCTTTGAACCCCAAACCTCAGATCTCAGCCTCCTGAGTGGCTAGGATGACAGATATGAGCCGCTGGTGCCCAGCTGTCCCTGGATCTTTACCAAACAGCAGCTCATCTTGAAGCAGAGATAAGTGCCCGTGGGATGGGGAGGAAGAAGAACTGGTCAGAGTGCCCTGGAAAAGTCTGAAATGAATCTAGATAAACAACACGTCTCCAGTTAGCTGTTCTTATAGTTGCTCATAGTCTATATTTCTGCCAAAAGGGACACAGACATAGAATGAAAGACCGAATGTGCAGCTAAACAATGGAAAAGAGAACTCCAAACTAAATAATGTCTCCATTCTAATTTCCTATGAGATGCAACCTGTCATGCCAGAACCACAGAGGGAGATGACTGCTGGCATGCATTTGAGTTTTAATGAGGAAGATGAGTAGAGCCGAGCTTATCTGTTCTCCCAGTGTGGAAAATGTATGTTGGACAAGGAAGTCTTCACAATGGTGTTTCACAACCATCCTGCATGGAAAACAGTGGAGATGGAGGTGGTAAAATCTCCCTTTAAAATGTACATTGGTTATTTTTTCTTGAACCAAAAAAAAGTCCTTTGGAAAGTGAAAGGGGAATGGGGTTCTGTAGTTCCTCTGTGTATTTTTAGAAGGCTAGCCTCATTTTACACACTCAAATCTAGACTTATAAACCACCTAGCTCACAGTTTCCAGTATATCTTGGCAGCTTGGCAGTTCTTCAGACACCATGAGAATTTCTCATTCTCATTGGTCATTTCTTCATTTCAACAAACAAAAATCGTTGGCTTTTTAAGGAAATCGCCTGTCTTCTGGGAAACACATATCTATTTGCAAGGTGTCAAAAAAAAAAAAACCCCAACCCACCACATAATAAAATAGATCCATTTCTGTGAACACAATAATACTCCTTTAATCCCTGCCAGCAATGTGACTCATCTATCTGCCTGTCTCCTTCTGTGGGATGGAGAGGGATCTTGTCTGCAAACCTTCAGTGGCAGCAGGAGGCAGGCTCTTGCCTGCCAGTTCCACACCAGCCCCTGGGCTGACGTGGCCCCTTGCTCTAGGAATGAGAAATTGGCCATGCTGCCCCTATTTTTAATAATTTACCCCAAAGTAAACACTTGTCTGAAGGTAGCCTCTAGCCAGGCACCATTGGCTCACATCTGTAATTCTAGCTACCCAGGAAGCTGAGATCTGAGGATAGCAGTTCAAAGCCAGCCTGGGCAGGAAGGTCTGTGAGACTCTTATCTCCAATTAACCACCAGAAAACCAGAAGTGGCGCTGTGGCTCAAGTGGTAGAGCACTAGCCT